TTCTAGGATCCGGGTTAATGATCCGGATGAATCAGGACTCGCCCATCTCTATTTTGCTGTAGTACATCTCTACATACATCGATACAACATTACGTGTTGATAGAAATCAACACGTAATGAAATAAGACCCCACGGTTTGATGATTGATAGGTGTGTGGGCTGTCTTTCATTTTGACACACAGAACAATGGGGGCTATCCACCCTTATCCACAATGTAATGTAATTCACACAGCCTCTTCCCTCTTCTCGCTGTGAGGAGCAGCAGGTTCAGCTTTCAGAACAAAGTAACAAAAAACGAAAATGGCATTCATTTTTTTAAATGTGTAGTAATAGATTTATTTATTTTCTTCTCAAGAGAGGACCAGAATGTGTATTTTATGTTAGTATTTCAAAGAATCTCCTGGGTTTTCAGCATGTCAACTCTTTCACCTGTGGGGAAATTGCAGGATTGGCTCCAGGTCGCCCTTTTTATTTACTACAAGACAAATGTGCCTTTTTATTTCATACAGTTCAATTTGGATTGAGACAGGGAAATAATTCACTGTCAAGGGGGGCGATATAGCGTGTATGTAATTACATTGCAAATACTGACTTGAGCCCCACCACTGTATGGGTTAGCCCTACCATAGATTACCCAACAAAAATACTCTGGAGCCACCACTGGTTGTGCCAAAACTGAAGAAAAAATAAAAGAAATAGATCTGGGCCAAAAGTGGTGAAAATGTAAAAATAGTGTCCGAAAATAGGCACTCGTGAGGCGGGTAGAGTCCCCTGTCAACTCCCCTTACAATGATTAGGGTTGTTATATAATATGTCCCATACACACACAAAAATATATCCCAACGAGACATATGTATGTGACACATATGCACTTTAAAGACTACATGTACAGATGCAGTGTTTTTAGGATCCCTGTGTATCTGGATACGTCCTGAACTCAGTTGGAAAGCACCTGATGCTCCAGTAATGCCCCTTTCACACCAAGGCTTTTCCCGTTCTAGCTCTGTGCTAGAGCTTTTCTGGTTCGGAACCGGTTCTTCGGTTCAGCTCCCGCTCTGTTCACACCGCTCAGAGCCCGACTGATGCTGCGTCATTGCGTCATCGTTTCCGTCATGACGTAACCGTTTGCGTGCCTGCTTCATAAAGCCAAACCGCGCGGAACCCCCTCACATCGACAACAACAACAATGGCCGATTGTATCTCGTATACTCGTTTTGGTTTTGCTCTGTCGAAACTAAATGGAAGAAATGGGACGACTTTACTAACAACAGTTGTTACATGCTACATCATCATCAACTTCAACGACGATTCCGTAGGAGAAAGAAGGTAAATATACGTCCTATTCGATGGCGTTAGAGCTAGCTGTTGTTAGCCTCTGCATGCGCCAAGCTCAAAATACCCAGCTTTGCAGCATTAATTACTATGGTATAACATTAAAACTGATTCTCAATGTTATTTCCACAGATCATGTTGAAGCTGGCGGGAAGGCGGATGTCGCGTGTGATTTGGACACAGCCCAGATCTTCCGACGTAAGCGTGACGGTGCTTGCTTTCTAGACCGACAACTTTTTGGTGCTTGAAACGAACCGGATTCCGGGGCTTAGAGGCGGCTCCGCTGCGGTGTGAACAGGAAAAACCGGTGCTTTTCAAGCTCCAGCTCCGAACCGGCCCTGGAACCGCGTTGGTGTGAAAGGGGCATAAGAGGACTCAGGGACTCACAGGGTGCTCCCAGACAGTCAATTATGAGCTCTATTTGCTGCCAGTCCCAATGGGAGGAAATAGAAACAAAGTGTCAATCAGCTGGATGACCCCCCCCCCCCCCACAACAACACACAACATCACACAACATTAGAAAGCCCAAGTGGAGGTACTGATAGAGGATTAAGAGACAAGGACAAATAAATAGGTAGGTCGGTAAGTAGGTAGGTAGGTAGGGAGGGAGGTAGATAAAGATTATATAAATGTATGCAGCTCAGCCTCCTCTCTCATCAAACAGGGGGGGGGGGGGTCATGCAGAGTTATTATTTTACTATATTATAAAACAGATAAGCAAGTTAGACCCAGCACTAAAATCATTTTGTGTCTGGGTGTAAAAATGAATACATAATATTATATGGCAGATTCAAAGAAAGTTTAAAGAAAATGTTCCAACAACAAGAAAACCATGAACAAATATCCAAAGAGGTTTCTGGATTATTAAAGTAGTTTTATTGTTTGTCACATAGCAGATGATTTGTGATACAACATTAAGCAAACGTATCATGATATAGGAACGGTCATTTACTAAAAAACACAAATGCTTTATTGTAAACAAATAAGCAACATTCTTTATAGAAATAGATAATTGAGCACAACACTTATAAAAGAAAAATAGATAAATATTTCTTCACAAAATAAAGCACACTTCTTAATGAATGAGAAACATCCGTAACTATGAAATTGATTGAATTGTATGAAATGTTCATGGCAATCATTATTAACTTCAAGCACAATAGCTGATTACCACACAAGGCAGAATACTTGCACATTAGGAGGATGGTGATGTAGATTTTGTCACCAAATTAAAATCAATTAAAATAAATGAGTTCAAAGCAAAACTTAGCAAAACTCTTCTGAAATAAAAATGTTTTTCTTAATTACAAAAAAGTCAAAATACTTATCAAATCCTTAAACACGAAAAGCGTTGGAAGTATTCATTTTAGTTTTTAATTTGTATTATAATAATTTTTCAGCAACATTTCTGGCTAAACTTCTCACACCATTTTATAAAACTGAACTTATAAAAAAAACACCAACTCTCGATGTGCTCAAATCCAACAGTAGGTTGCGCTGTAACACCTTTCTCCTGTTCTTTCTGGATTCAAGGCAACGCAACTTAAGATACGGCGCGCTATCGGGGTTTCCCGACATGTCGTTGCAGTCAATTAAGGTGTTTCATGTTGTCGTTGCTGTGGACCTTCTTAATCTACCTTCTTTGGGGGCCCCCTTCTATGGGCTCAGAACAGTCTCATAATACATACATGCACACAGAAGGATTCACACTTGTATTTCATGGTCCGCAAAAGGATTCACACTTGTATTTCCGGATCCACACTTGTGTTTGTCAATGCACACACAAATGTGTTCCGTTTCATATACATGTAAATAAAATCCAAATACAGAAAAAAGTTTTACATATGTATTTTTGATCCTCACATATTTGTTTTCCGTTTAAATCCCCTGAACCTGCAAACACAAACCGCTTTCTGTGCATGGATCGCTGTGCATTCGTGTGTGGGTTTTTTGAGACTCCCCTGACAGTCACCCGATTCGTACTTGTAATTTTTTCTATCTATAGCCAATCAGATGTCTCCTTCGTTCTAAGCCAATCACATGAGCGCGTCCCCATGAGGGTATGATTTATTGCGTTCATGACACTTCATATACGCATTTTGCGCTGTCCGGAGCAGAGTTTCCGCGGACAGAATTTATTTTACCGGACACATTTTAAACTTACCGGTCATGTTTCAATAATAATAATAATAATAATAATAAGAATTGTGTAGCAGAGTTTCCGTTAGCAGGTAATTACCGGACTATGACCGGATATGGCTAATAACACGGGAGTAAGGATCATCTCTTTTCCTCTCTCCCTCCCTCTCTCCTGACAGCCCGTCAGTTTCTCATGCAGCTCGCTAAAACTTCACTCGCGTTTATGTCCATATCGATCAGATCCAGCTCTCCTGATCGGCCTTTATAGAGAGCACCGATCAAACTATTAAGAGTGAATATCGGCCGATAATGACCGGCGGGGCTCCCCCCGTTGACAGTTCACTGTCTAGCACTGGCTTCGTAGTGCACTGATCGATTAGGCTAAGCTAATCTGTAGCTGCTCCCTCCACACTCACAACAACTTCATACAGACATAAATAAAGCAGCTGTATTCGCCATACAGGAAACACACATTTAAAACAGTTTTGCATGCCGTTGTTGTGTACACAAGCATTCATTAATGGTTCGGAAAGTGGCACTGTACCTTAATAATATAAAGGCTTGTATTTGCGTGCATTTCCTGCTCGGAAAGTGGCAATGTACTGAGAGTGGAGGTGTCCTGAGATTAGCGCCTGCAGGCAGGCTCCATGGACCTGTCAGCTCCGGACAGCGCAAAATGCGTACATGAAGCGCTACGTCATGAACGCAAGAAATCTACCCTCGTCGGGTCGCGCTCATGTGATTGGCTTAGAATTGAGGAGACATCTGATTGGCTATAGATAGAAAAAATTACAAGTACGAATCGGGTGACCGTCAGGGGAGTCTCAAAAAACCCACACACGAATGCACAGCGATCCATGCACAGAAAGCGGGTTGTGTTTGCCGGTGCAGCGGTTTTAAAAGGAAAACAAATATGTGAGGATCAAAAATACATATGTAAAACTTTTTTCTGTATTTGGATTTTATTTACATGTATATGAAACGGAACACATTTGTGTGTGCATTGACAAACACAAGTGTGGATCCGGAAATACAAGTGTGAATCCTTTTGCGGATCATGAAATACAAGTGTGAATCCTTCTGTGTGCATGTGTGTATTATGAGACTGTTCTGAGCCCATACCATTCTGGTCCGGGGCCCCAAGCAGTTGTCTGCCTTGCCTGTCCGCAAACGGCGGCCCTGCCCGAAGTTGGGAACTGGCTTCTACTGAAGCCTTCCGAGTAAATCGCCAGAAGCGCCAACACCTCGTCATCACTCCACCGCTCCCATGTTTTCTTTTGGAAGGAACCAATGGGCTTGGAGCTAACAGGAAGTCAGAAAAGACATATTGATGGTGTAGTATTTTCATATTGAGAACAAGAAAAATATGCTATCTTTTTAATGTGATATAACAAATTCAGCCTGCTGTGGTTAGAAATGTGTATAAGAGTGTGTGTGTGTGTGTGTGTGTGTGTGTGTGTGTGTGTGTGTGTGTGTGTGTGTGTGTGTGTGTGTGTGTGTGTGTGTGTGTGTGTGTGTGTGTGTGTGTGTGTGTGTGAGAGGAGGTCTTTGGAGCTGCTACTCCGCTCCCGGAGCTCCTTCCTCTTCAGCAGGAACACCCAGGTCATCGTATTCCAGCTCAATGTCATCATAATCAAGCTCAATGTCCTCCTGTCGGCTCGGCCTCCGCCCCCTGGTGGCCTGGAGAGACATGACAGCACACAGATGAGACTTCCTGCATCACTCCTGTTCAATAACACACACTGTTTCATTCAGTCAGTGGAACAACATGTTTCAGTACCTTATCATTCTGTCAGTGGTGGAACAACAACATGTTTCAGTACCTTATCATTCAGTCATTGGTGAAACAACAATGTGTTTCAGTACCTTATCATTCAGTCAGCGGTGGAACGACAACATGTTTCAGTACCTTATCATTCAGTCAGTGGTGGAACAACAACATGTTTCAGTACCTTACAGTAGAAGTAAACGCCGACGGTCACCAGCAGCAGCAGAGTCAGCGGCAGGACGACGGCTCGGATGATAAACGGTTCTGGATCTGATCGAACACATGGACAGCATCACATCAAGAGTCAGCAAACACTCTGTAGAGACCTGAACCCTGAAATCACTGCAACATTGAGTCATTTATAATACACAGCTGTATTAGTTACATTAAACTGATAGTAGTCATGTTGATACTCCAATATAAACTAGAACTGATTAGACAATCAACCGGTTGGTGTTGAAAACGATGTGAAGGAATAATAAGGCGTTCAGGAGGTCAGTGTCCATTCTGAGTCTTGGAGGGATCTTCTACTTCTTGAATGCAAAATGACAAATATCACTTGGGGTTCTTGAGACAGCTACTATCACTTAAACAAAACTATGAATAAAGCTGTGAACAGGCAGTTTCCTTTGCATCCTGGAGCATGGTTTGAAGTCTGGTATCCTTATGAACTAGACATTTTGTGGCAGCTAAAGCGTCATCTTCACACACTTGGGAAGAAAAAGACGAAGAAGTCTTCCAAAAGAAGACTCTAGAAGTCAGCAAACACTGTAGAGACCTGAACCCTGAAGCCACTTCAGCATGGAGACTCCTCTCTCTCTGATTTGGCCTCTGGTTAGACTTTAATATGTGGCCTGACATGTTTCCAGACAGAAGGAGAAGCTGCTGTATCTCTTACATCCAGCACTCAGTACTCAGGTCCAGACTCTAATGTAAACTAGACTTCACTGGAGAACCAACTGAACAGTGAGGAAACAAAAAAGATGAAACAAAGAGGCCTTTTGTGCACGAGACCAGGACCATAAACCCCGACTGGAGGAGAGGTTCTGGTCCAGGTTCTATATATATACTTTATATAGCCTTATAAACTGTAACTGTCTCAGGACAGTGACATACAGACAGTGACAGACAGACAGGTGAGAGACAGACAGGTGACAGACAGACAGGTGAGAGACAGACAGGTGAGAGATAGACAGGTGAACACTGAGCTTACCTGAGACAGGTGACAGACAGACAGACAGGTGAGAGAGAGACAGGTGAGAGACAGACAGGTGAACACTGAGCTTACCTGAGACAGTGACAGACAGACAGTGAGAGACAGACAGGTGACAGACAGACAGTGAGAGACAGACAGTGACAGACAGACAGGTGACAGACAGACATTGACAGACAGACAGGTGAACACTGAGCTTACCTGAGACAGTGACAGACAGCAGACGGCTCTCAGAGCAGAAGCTATGAGAGCGAACCAACACGTGATAAACACAGCTGTAGTTTCCCTGGTGGGCGGGCTCTGCAGCCGGGAACAGGAAGTGGGAGCGGTGATTGACAGCTGGCTGGGTGTAGGTGTGAGTGGAGGAGCTGAGCAGGAAGGAGCCTCCTGGGTACTGAGGCTGGATGGAGCAGCTGATGCTGAAGGTGGAGCCTCTGAACACCTGGAACCCCTGCTGCTGGGCCCCGGAGACCCCGTACATGGAGGAGGACACAGAGATGTTGGGCTGAAGCAGGTCTGTAGACAGGTGAGAGACAGACAGGTGAGAGACAGGTGAGAGAGAGACAGGTGAGAGACAGGTGAGAGACAGGTAAGAGAGACAGGTGAGAGACAGACAGGTGAGAGAGAGACAGGTGAGAGACGAACAGGTGAGAGAGATAGCTGAGAGACAGACAGGTGAGAGAGAGACAGACAGACAGATACTCCAGCTGCATTACTGTGATGATGTCACTGATGGGCTTACCTGAGCAGATGAGATTCAGTATGTTAGTAGAGGTAGCTGATACTGCACACTCCCTCAAAGCAGATCCAGACTGAAGACAGAGAGGAAAGATCCCCCAAATAGGTCTCTCTGAGGACTCCTCTCTCTCTCCTAGAGAAACAGCAGAGCCACAGTCGAGATCTCTGCAGGCGACTGCTGCTTCCTTCAGGGTCCAGGGCTCATAAAAAGCATACACTGGACTCCATTCTCCCTGATATTTCAGCTCCAGGTCTCCTTCACAGCGACTGGATCCTCCCACCAGCCTGACAGGCTCTGAACAGAAACAGGAGAGTCATCAGAGAAAGAAGAGAGTTCACAGAGAGGGGAAGCCCCGCCCCTTCCTGTGGACCAACATGAGACCTTATTACAGAAACATATTGATGGTCAGCAGAGAGAGAGCAATCCTTTCTGGTCCTGTTTGAAGTGTATGGAATGCCCTTCAAGACAACATTAAATAAATACATAAATAAATACATATATAAATAAATATGCCTATGGAATAAATAAATATGGTTATGAAATCAATTCTGAAATAAATGAATGAGGCAATAAATATATATAAATGTACATTTATTTATTTAACTCAAGGGACTTTTATTTCATAATGCCACATTTATTTGACAGCTCTTTTTATTTCTATTTCTTATATTCAAATGAACGGGGCGTGGTTAGCTCATAGATCCAGACCAAAGCAACAGCACCACAACACTGACTCAATAGCCGCATTCACACCGGAGTACTTTTCACCGTACTTTTCGCGTTTAGTTCCGTTAGTACCCCTTATTTCGCGTTCACACCAAAAAGAGCACTTAATCCCGGGAACTTTTACCCCCATTTTTAGTGCCTGCTGAGAGATGGTACTTTCCTGGGGGAAAAAAGTGCCCCAGTTCTGATTGGCTTGGCGAATTGCAAACCACGCCCCGTACAACTCTGAAATGTTTTGTAGAGCCGCCATTTTATTATCCTCGCATTAGCATTATTAGCATTAGCATTCGCCCAGCGCACAAACGCAGAGAGACTAATTTATGGCAACACAAAATAAAACATGGGAGCGGTGGAGATGAGGAGGTGTCGGCGTTCTGGCGATTTACTTGGAAGGCTTCAGTAGAAGCTGCTGGGAGTCCCAGCAGCGTCTTCTAGAAGAAGACGAAGTGACGTCAGCGGCTCATTTGCGTAATCTTCCCTCAGGGAATTTATTCCGGTGTGAACGCGATCTGTACTAAGTGCCCTGGGGTAATAAGTGCCGGCACTAAATACGGAAAAGTACTTGGTGTGAACGCGCCTAATCTCAATAGCTCTTGTTTAACTCCACCCTAAATGAAGCAAACAGAGTGTGACCTACGTCACTGAAAGAGGATCTTTAACACGTCCAAACCTCAGATGTGTAATTCATGGAACAATTCAAACGCTATAAACTGTTCGTCTCTCGCTGCCGTACGTTTCCTCAGAAATAAGTTCCCATGGGGACACAGGAAGGGGCGGGGCTTCCCCTCTCTGTCAGAACAGAATGAACCAATCACAGCTCCTCTCTACCTGAGCAGGTGAGGCTAACAGCTCTGCCAGGTGAGCAGGTGTTTCTCTCTGAGGCTGAGCTACAGTCCAGGAGAGCAGACTCATGGCCTCCACACTGGAACTCTTTGGTCCACATTGGAGCCTCCCCTTCTCCATAGAGCGCCCCCTGGAGGACTGAAGGAGCCCCACAGCCGAGCTGCTTGCAGACCACCTGAGCATCCTGCTGGTCAAAGTCAGCCTCATACACTGAGGACCAGGACGGGTTGGACGGGTCAGACGGGTCAGACGGGTCAGAGTTCACCTCCAGTCTGCCTGAGCACAGACCAGTCTCCCCCAGCAGCCTGACAGAGTCTGCAGAGAAGAGAACACAGAGAAAGATCTTCGTGCATTCAGCAGCTGCAGCAGATGCAGCCACTAGGCTACAGCTGCATTAGGTTGAGAAACCCTGAGGAGCAGAAAGACAATACATGTTCCCTGAATCCTGAAGTACTAAGCAGCCGGTCATCAGGTCCTGCAGGAGCCTGCTGATACTCCAGCTGCTGCATGTGGGGTTACTGTGAGGATGGGACTGATGGGCTTACAGGTGAGATGCATGATGGGACTGATGGGTTTACAGGTGAGATGCACGATGGGACTGATGGGCTTACAGGTGAGATGCACGATGGGACTGATGGGCTTACAGGTGAGATGCACGATGGGACTGATGGGCTTACAGGTGAGATGCACGATGGGACTGATGGGCTTACAGGTGAGATGGATGATGGGACTGATGGGCTTACAGGTGAGATGCATGATGGGACTGATGGGCTTACAGGTGAGATGCATGATGGGACTGATGGGTTTACAGGTGAGATGCATGATGGGACTGATGGGCTTACAGGTGAGATGGATGATGGGACTGATGGGCTTACCTGAGCAGGTGAGATCCAGGGAGGCAGAAGAGTAATCTAATAATGCACACTCCCTCAGAGCAGATCCAGAATAAAGACAGTCAGGACTGATCCCCCACACATGTCTGTCTGAGGACACTGTTCTGCGTACTAGAGAAACAGCAAAGCCACAGTCGAGATCTCTGCAGAAAACTTGTGCTGTCTTCAGGGTACAGTGCTCAATAGGATAATGCACTGGTCTCCATTCTCCCCAATAGTTCAGCTCTAGTTTTCCTTCACAGCGACTGGATCCTCCCACCAGCCTGACAGACTCTGAACAGAAACAGGAGAGTCGTCAGTAAAAGAAGAGAGTTCACAGAGAGGGGAAGTCCCACCCCTTCCTGTGGACCAACATCAGACCTTATTACAGAAACATATTAATGTTAGCTAAGTTACCTAGCTAACGCTAGCTAGCAGGCCAAGGCTCTGAGTCTTTTAGTGTTATGGAGCACTGTACCGCACCGGCCTACTTTAACCTCTAAACAGAAAGAAGAGTCATCTGAACAAGAGGTTTGATGCACGGTTACACTGCACTCTCTCTTCAACGTGAGATGACAGTGAAGAGAGAGATCTGCTGCTGAACGATGAAATATAACTCAGATAAAACCTTAATAAATCAATGTCATGTTGTCTGATCAAAACAGTGACAGCTTGCACTTTGTTCTAAGGTTGTAGATGTGTGTGTGAGAAGCTCACTGAAAGCTGGAGACTGACAGAAGAAGTCCCGAGTTGGTGAATCACGATGAATAAATAATTACACTAAGGCTCGGCCGTTGCAATGCTAAGCTAGCTGGCTAAAGTGAGAAAGGTTAGAGTTAACAACATTAGCATTAAACAATGAACAGTGCAATAAGCTTACTGTTGTAGAGCACAGCTAAATCTGCTGACAACTCTCTGACACAAAGTTGCATATAAAGGAGTTCATTGCTTAGTGTTTTATTCAGCTTATTGAGCTACTGAACAGTTTAATACTAAATCAATATAGCTACAATTGAGTCAAGTGACACTGTAGTTAGTGACACTGTAGTTAGTGACACTATAGTAAGTGACTCTGTAGTTAGTAACGCTGTATTTAGTGACGCTGTAGTAAGTGACGCTGTAGTTAGTGACTCTGTATTTAGTGACACTGTAGTAAGTGACACTGTAGTTAGTGACACTGTAGTAAGTGACACTGTAGTTAGTGACACTGTAGTTAGTGACACCGTATTAAGTGACACCGTAGTAAGCGAATTGTGCCTCCTATGTACAAGGTTAACATTGAAAGTGATGATGATATGTCAAAATGCGTCTCAATGTACATGTTACTCCAGCTGCCTATCAGTTTACTACACTCAAATGGCGCAAAACTTGCGTTCTATGGACAAACGTGTAAAACACTCAAATTCCAATAGATGGAGCTCTAGACTAATTTATTAAATTTGTAAAAGTGTTGTTAAGTCTGAAAAAACACGCTATTATGGATGATACAGTAAATAGGTTAATATGGTAAACAAGGGCGCACGACCCCCAAACTTCGTGGGTGTGTTCCAACAGGTACAAAGTGTAAATATACCAAGTTTGATGGACCTGTGATGTCTGTAAATATTTGAATTAAAACAGTTTAATCGAGTTTGAGCACTAATATACCCATGTTTTGAACACTTTCGCGGGGTAAACATGTTATTTGTTCACCCTGGGTGTGTGACACAAGTGAACCGACACTTAAAACCTCCGGAATTAAAACAGTTTAATCGAGTTTGAGCACTAATATACCCATGTTTTGAACACTTTCGCGGGGTAAACATGTTATTTGTTCACCCTGGGTGTGTGGGTCTCTGAGACCCTGCCAACAGCAGTGACTCTGCTGCCTGCATTTAAACAGATTCACCAGTTTATAACATTACTTTAGCCCTGATCAGAGCCCTGTTTTCTGGGTAAGACAGCGAGGTGCTGTACCCTGGGTCTATGGGTCTCTGAGACCCTGCTAACAGCAGTGACTCTGCTGCCTGCATTTAAACAGATTCACCAGTTTATAACATTACTTTAGCCCTGATCAGAGCCCTGTTTTCTGGGTAAGACAGCGAGGTGCTGTACGCTGGGTCTATGGGTCTTTGAGACCCTGCTAACAGCAGTGACTCTGCTGCCTGCATTTAAACAGATTCACCAGTTTATAACATTACTTTAGCCCTGATCAGAACCCTGTTTTCTGGGTAAGACAGCGAGGTGCTGTACCCTGGGTCTATGGGTCTCTGAGACCCTGCTAACAGCAGTGACTCTGCTGCCTGCATTTAAACAGATTCATCAGTTTAAGACTGCATGACAACATGAATTGTAGTTCTGGCACATGTTCAGATTCTGCTATTTCTGCTGAAATAGCACATTGTGAACTACCAGTTTTCATTAAATGACTCTGTCTCCTGAATTAAAACATTTCCCACGACTTTGACCACTAATGTACCCATGTTTTGAACACTTTCCCTGGGTAAATATGTTATCATCATCAACCTGGGTGTGTGTATTTGTGCCTGTGAGTCTGATACCCTGCTAAAAGCAGTGATTCTGCTGTTTTTAGCTTCTTGTACATTTAACGACATAAATGTGATTGATATGTACATTTTCCTGTCTATACTGACATGTATATGTCCATAACTCTGTATGTTTATGTCGTTAAATGTACACTGTCTAAAAACAACAATAATGAGTGAATTAAAACTGTTTGGCCGTCTTTTAACACTCATGTAGCCATGTTTGCAGCCCTCTTCACTGGGTAAGAAGTGAATTACCCTCTCCTGTTGAATTAAAACAGTTTAATCGACTCTGACCACTAATGTACCCATGTTTTGAACACTTTCCCTGGGTAAATATGTTAACTTTTCACCCTGGGTGTGTGAGACAAGTGAAACCACACTTTAAACCTCCTGAATTAAAACATTTCCCACGACTTTGACCACTAATGTACCCATGTTTTGAACACTTTCCCTGGGTAAATATGTTAACTTTTCACCCTGGGTGTGTGACACAAGTGAACCAACACTTAAAACCTCCTGAATTAAAACATTTCCCACGACTTTGACCACTAATGTACCCATGTTTTGAACACTTTCCCTGGGCAACAATGTTATCTTTTCACCCTGGGTGTGTGAGACAAGTGAAACCACACATAAAACCTCATGAATTAAAACATTTCCCACGACTTTGACCACTAATGTACCCATGTTTTGAACACTTTCCCTGGGTAAATATGTTATCTTTTCACCCTGGTCCTGAATTAAAACAGTTCCCCCGACTTTAAACACTAATGTACCCATGTTTTGAACACTTTCCCTGGGTAAATATGTTATGATAATCACCCTGGTGAACCGACACTTAAAACCTCCTGAATTAAAACAGTTCCCCCGACTTTAAACACTAATGTACCCATGTTTTGAACACTTTCCCTGGGTAACAATGTTATCTTTTCACCCTGGTTGGTGTAGTCCTGAATTAAAACATTTCCCCCGACTTTATATGCTAATGTACCCATGTTTTGAACACTTTCCCTGGGTAAATATGTTATCATCATCACCCTGGGTGTCTGAGACAAGTGAACCGACACTTAAAACACAAATTTCCTGCCCTCTGCTTGCTTAAATGCTTAAAATAAATGTTGTAAATTTGATGCACTTTTTTGTTAATGATATGTACATTATGGCACCATCTGGTGGAACATTTGTAAATTACACTAAAATCCAAAACTTTAATGTTTTTTATCTTAGCGAAATAATGGTTTAAGGACCCCAATATAATGATCATTTATGATCCTGCAGACGTTGTCTACGCGTGTATCACAACAGCTTATTTTTAGTGTGAAGTAGAAAACTCGGTTAGTAAGGTTTTATTGTCAATATGAGATGCATTGTTTGTATGTCCCATGTACATGGCTGTGCATATGGCTACACGCACTACTAACGTATAGTTAGTGACACCGTATTTAGTGACACTATAGTTAGGGACACTGTATTAAGTGACACTGTAGTTAGTGGCACTGTAGTTAGTGACACCGTATTTTGTGACACCGTATTAAAGGGCCCATGTCATGGCCATTTCCACTGATCATAATTACATTGTTGAGGTATACTAAAATAGATTTATACTGTGCAATTTTCCAAACTCACATTGGTTTCGCATACAGCATCTCTGTCAAGCATGTGTATTCAGCAGTATTCACTTTCTCCACTAAACGACTCGTTGGAGCTCTTGCCCCCCCCCTCCCTGTGAGCCTAGTGTGCTCCGATTGGTCAGCTCGGCCACTCTGTTCTGATTAGTCAACCACCAGAGAGGCTCCGCCCGCTTTTTTCGGGGAACATCAGTGTAATAATGGCGTCGGTACAGCTGATATTTTATACTAACTAACCGAACTGAACCTACAACTGTTGTTATAGAAGAGTGTGACGGCCCCAGGGCCTTTGTGCAGGTGTGTTGCAGGGCTTACGGTGGGGTGGAGCTGAAGAGGGTAATCAGCGCGATCACGGACACCTCCGTAGCCGGTGCTATTAATCCCAGCTATTAATCCCGCTTTGGAGAGTCTCTCTCCAAAGCGGCTGCAGAAGGACGAACTCAGCGACCCTCTCCCCTCGACCACCTATCTCTGCATTTACCACAATAAATGTGCCGTGGTTTTGTAAACTCGTGTATGTCTCCTTGCCTTTCCGTTGTGGCCTACGAGCCGGTCATAACAAAGAGTAAGTTATTTTTACCTGTAATAAACTACTACTGTTTGATGAGAAATCAAATCATGGTTTGCTATATATGAATTCAGGGAAGAAAGGATAGGCCTACAAAGTATTTCCATTAAACTTTATTTTTAGAAATGTATAAAATGAACATAAATATACATATATACACACGGTATATCATCCATTCCTCCTCGCATCTTGCCTGCGCACAGCCGGTGCGGTGCCTTTTAGCACGAGGCCTCAGTAGTAGTAGAAGTCCCGTCCCCGTCATGGATTGTCCGCCAGGATCTGGCTGGACGAAATCAAATGCAAATCATAAAATATTAGAGAAACTTAGTTGTTTTAGATTCGTTAGTAGTAGTTGTGGTAGGAGTGTAATGAACAGCTTGCCTGCTAATATGCTAACCTAGCTTTGTTTACCTTGGTAGCTAACACGATATGAACGTTAGCTTGGAGGAAAGGCAACTATAATGCAGTGTAATAAAACTACTATGAACAAAAGCTAGTGGTTCATATTAGGCTAGCAATAACGTGTTTATAATTGCAATCGTATACGGGTATTCTGCTACCATACAATGTAACTTGCATGAATACATTGTTTTGCGCTAGCATACAGCTAGCCTCGTTAGCTATACATGCAGTATATGTACTGTCACAATGTACGGTAAATCACCCGGAGTATACTGTATGAGTATTCCGTGTGTGTGACTGCAGACATTCTCCTGCCATGACAAACATGTAAGGCCATCTGCTGACATTGTAGTTGATATATTTAAACGCTAGCAACGTAGCATCACAAAAATGTTTTTCCGACCAAACCTAGCTCTAGCTCCGTGTGTTAGATCGGTTGCATACACGCTACGCCAGCTATAATGTAATTACGTTTCGCGACTGACCGCACGGCAAATCACCCGGAGTATACTGTCAATAGGTATTTTGTGTGTGAATGCAGACATTCTCCTGCTATGAGATACATGTATGCAAGGCCATCTGCTGATATTAGAGTTGATATATGGAAACTCTAGCAACTTAGTTAGCACAGTTAGCACTGTGTCAATGGCTTAGCAGTCCGACACAGTTTACACATTTAAACAGTCTTGTTTGATAAATACACAAATAACAATGCAAACTTACAGGTTGTGTACCCGGATCTTCCCCTGCTCTAAACGGTCCAAACAAGCTGTGCATATCCGGCCTCAAACTGGGCAATGTTTTGGAAGCTTTCGTCTGTGAAATGCCGGTTCTTCGAACCTCTGGAGGAGGAACACGCCCCTGCTGGTGTGGCCATAGCTATTCGGGATTGGTCCATTTCGTTCCGGGTACCGCATGACATCAGGCGGTACCCGGAAGAATCAAATGGGCAGTGACGTATCTCCAACGAGGCGTTTTGGGGAGGTATTTTCTGTGTTAGAGTTTTACTCGCTACAGGGTGTACTTTGAGGGTTTTGACTCTGCACACCGTTTACATGCATAAAAACCTTCATAACACACAAGGGGACGGGTAATAACCGGAAAAGCATGACATGGGAGCTTTAAGTGACACCGTAGTTAGTGACACCGTATTTAGTGACACCGTATTTAGTGACACCGTAGTTAGTGATACTGTAGTAAGTGACTCTGTAGTTAGTGACACTGTATTTAGTGACGCTGTAGTTAGTGACACTGTATTTCGTGACACTGTAGTAAGCAGTGTTGTGCTAGTTACTGAAAACCAGTAACTAGTTACCATTACTAATTACTTCATTTCAAAAGTAACTCAGTTACTTTACTGATTACTTACACCAAAAAGTAATGCGTTACTGTGAACAGTAACTTTTTAGTTACTTAAAAAAAGGGCTCCCATTAATGCCCTTATAGCCTTCATTTCAGTACTGTTATTGCATTGGAGAATAATACAATCTGTTGATCAACTTGACATGCATTTGCATCACTGAACTCTGCTAAGCAATGTGGTCTATACAAACACAAACACAAAGATATGTTGCCAATTTATTTCTTGCCAGAACAAACTGACAAAACTTTAGTTGCCTGCAATCTACATGTCATAGTTGGGTCTAGTCTGCCATAATTAACACAACATAGCTGCAAACCTGTTATGGTGGATCTGAACACACTCAATACACACACTAACATTCCCAAGATCAAGGAGGGGTGGCTGGGGCGGACACGCACGCACGCACGCACGCACGCACGCACGCACGCACGCACGCACGCACGCACGCACGCACGCACACACACACACACACACACACACACACACACACACACACACACACAGGCGAGGTAGAATGAGCACCATAACTACTGTTGTGTTCAGCCCCAAAAAATTCCTTCATATCTCAAATCTAGCAAGTAATGTAAAACATAAGCACAAAATACAATTTTCCTCTAGGCATTCTGAAATAAATAACTGCTTACAAATACAATCTGAATATGTTATTCAGAATCAAGTTGGAAAAATGAATGTACTTTCACACCAAATGCTGGTACAGACAAGACAACCATAAATGCATTAAAACAAAAAACATCAGCTCCTCAAAAATGAAATCTGCAACTGTGAGTGGCTTCATTATGGCACAATATTCCTTCAGAAAATGAAGTTCCCTGTCGCTAATAGATTTTAGCTGTAAACGATCAGAGATGGCACTCAAGTCAGTCATAGGTATTTCAACAATTCTTGCCACAGCATCATAAAATGAATTCCATCTTGTAGTGCATGGCACAAGCAGCTTTTTATTGACCACGTCGCTCACTATCTCTGAGGCCACTGTGGACCTGCTTGCCTTATTCCACAGTGCTGTGCACTTAGCTGTAGAGCTTCTGTAGATTCCTTTAGTCCCAGGATTTGAAAGGAGCCACTTCAGCACGTCAGCGCATGAAATTAAGTTTAGTGTGTGAGATGCACCTCTTTGGTACAGAGGTAAAACAATCCCTTCCTCTGCGGCGGTGTTAAGCACGTCTGCAACGTCAGTGAACCTCTTCTTCATCATCATCATCGTCGTCAGAGAGCGATTCCGGTTGATACATGGCTTTCACAAAGTTAGAGCCGTTATCAGTAACTGTGGAGGTAACTTTTGTTGACACTCCATACAAAGAGTGAATGTGGTCAATCTCACTAGCAATAACATCGTACGTGTGCCTACCCTTTATCCTTTTACAGGCCAAGGCAGCTTTCTGGCGTTGTAAAGTGGTGGGGTTTATCCAGTGAGATGTTATCCCGAGGAAGCTTCTGTTGTGGACAGACCAAATGTCTGCCGTGGTCGAGATGTACTCCAGCCCCTCAAATGTTTTGTTTAGCTCGCTTTCCATTTTTGTATATTCTTTCTCCAGGTAGTTGGAAAAAGTTTTCCGTCCCATATGCCGTGTGCCGCCCGGACATGGTATCATGCTTACTAGCTCCCTGAAAGCGGGTGACTCCACTGTAGAAATAGCCTGCATGTGTTCTACAACATACCGTGCAATGGCTTTATCAACTTTTCCCTGGCTAGCAGTCCCTCTGTTAAAATCCAGCCGCTGTTGCTTAGGTGGAGGTGGAGTGGCGTCGGATGAGTCTGGGGGCTGTTCTCATTTCATCAAATCCCCCTCCTCGACTCCTCGACTCCTCGGTCCTCCGGTAGTGACCCGGAAATTAATTTTAGCGCGCCATGTTGAAGGACATCTCATTTCTCTAAATGCACATCGAGGACCGAGCGTCGAGCGTCGAGGAGGCTCTCTGGAGGAGCTATAACCGAGGATACACTGATGGGTCCTCCACGGTCCTCCATGGCTCCTTCGTGGATGCATTTCCGGGAACAGAGATGTTTCAAAGAGTCGTGACGCACAGCCGGACTTATCTCAGCCAATGACAGCTCTGCATGCATCCCCTGGATATTATTTTATTAACTGCTTTCATCGCGACGCAATGTTTACAGTGAGGTCCGTGCAGAAAGCAGAGCAGTGTGTATAATATATATCACTCAGTATAACAGGCCTACTCTCTTTATTTGCTTTAGTTTAGTAGATATCTACAAACAAAGAGTCGATATTTTTCTAAAACCATTTAGTGCTTCACATAATAAAATACACAACGGCTGTAGCCTGATGATATGCTTTAGGAGCTGTAGGTGCGTGTGTGTGGTGTAGGTGTGTGTGGTACAGTGTGTGCGTAGATGCAGCGGACAGACAGGTCTCAGTTGGTTTGGTGTCGTCTGCTTACTTTTAATACTTGCAAATAAAACTTTTGGCCCGTAATTTATTTCCCTCATTGTAGCGACCAGAGAGGGGGGGGATATATCCAGTCTCTGATAGTGTTACGTTATTATGAGAGTGCTCTGTTTGATTCTGAAATTGTATATAAATATATATATATGTGTGTGTGTGTGTGTGTGTGTGTGTGTGTGTGTGTGTGTGTGTGTGTGTGTGTGTGTGTGTGTGTGTGTGTGTGTCCGCATCTGTAGCCTGTTATTGTCTCATTATACCGCACTGTCAATGAATTAAAAGTAAATAAGTCGTCATGAACACATCTGTCCATCAGACAGAGGGCTGCTGTGCCTCCTGTCATCATTAATGGACGTCTCTTTTAAAATGACCGCTCAGAGGAGAGGATTTCTCATTTCTGAGAAACTGAATTAAAAAAATAATGCGTTAGAGTTAGAGTACTAGTTACTGCCAAAGATAACAGCGTTACAGTAACGCGTTACTTTGTAACTTACTTTGCGTTACTTTGTAACGCGTTAGTCCCAACACTGTAGATAGTAACACTGTATTTAGTGACACTGTATTAAGTGACACTGTAGTTAGTGACACTGTAGTTAGTGACATTACATTTAATTTCATTTAGCTAACGCTTTTATCCAAAGCGACTTATAATTACCAATTACAGGGACATTCTCCCTGGAGTAACTGAGGGCTAAGTGCCTAACTCAAGGGCACACTAGTGGTGGTGTTCCAGGTGGGATTTGAACACACAACCTTCCTATCTTCAGCCCACCTCACTATCCATTAGACCACCACTACCCCACAGTTACGCTGTATTTAGTGACGCTGTATTTAGTGACACTGTATTTAGTGACGCTGTATTTAGTGACACTGTAGTTAGTGACACTGTATTTAGTGACACTGTAGTTAGTGACACTGTAGTTAGTGACACTGTAGTGACACTGTAGTCAATGTGTTTGCTTGCTGTTTATGTAAAAATGATCTTAAATCTTATCAAGCACCACAGAAAGCACAACTGAAACTCAGCTGGTTCTGCTTCTGTGATCCTCCCCTTGCGTTCCTCTCCCTGTGTACCTGGTGGTTTGATTGCTCCTTCAGCCTGGAGTCCTGAGGAGAAAGTCAGGAGATAAACGTCATTAAAAAACTCTTTTCAGACTCTTTAAACATGAAGACTCAGATGTAAACATGATGCAGCAGATTTAGACATGATGCAGCAGATTTAAACATGATGCAGCAGATTTAAACATGATGCAGCAGATTTAAACATGCAGCTCTGACACTTTAAACATGATGCAGCAGATTTAAACATGATGCAGCAGATTAAGACATGCAGCATCAGATTTAAACATGCAGCTCTGACTCCTTAAACATGATGCAGCAGATTTAAACATGATGCGGCAGATTTAGACATGCAGCATCATATTTAAACATGCAGCTCTGACTCTTTAAACATGAAGCAGCAGATTTAAACATGAAGTAGCAGATTTAACCTGTTTAGCCCGAGAGACCCCGGTACCGGGGCCCTCCCGCAACATCTTGCAGGAAACAGTGTCTGAGGGCATGTTCATTTAATAAACTATGAATGTTTTATATCCATGTAACGGGAAGAAACTCATCTAACTGATCATTTTTTTTTTTTTTTCAAAATAAAACCCACAATGCTAACGCTGTGCCTCTGAATTAGCAACGAGCGAAAAATGCTAACAGATTACTGCACCGAAAATCACTCAGAAAACCTTATTATTTATCTTTTCTGCACATCCAACACATCGATTCACATCGTGAGATGACACAGAATCGATGGGTACATACATTATCACTCTATGATACGAACTTGCGACTTTATAAACAAAAACAGACATCAAAACATGTGGCGCTAGGTAGCTAAAAACGCTAACATGGCTTACCTGTGTCGTAGTCTAGTCAAAAGTGGTCTTCAATGGCATTAAAACGATAAAAACGCTGCTGAAGTTAATCCATAGGTTAATCCAATGTGTCTGTGTCCCTTTGAAATGATTTCTGATAATCCATAAGCAGTGTTGTGCTAGTTACTGAAAACTAGTAACTAGTTACCATTACTAATTACTTCATTTCAAAAGTAACTCAGTTACTTTACTGATTACTTACACCAAAAAGTAATGCGTTACTGTGAACAGTAACTTTTTAGTTACTTAAAAAAAGGGCTCCCATTAATGCCATTATAGCCTTCATTTCAGTACTGTTATTGCATTGGAGAATAATACAATCTGTTGATCAACTTGACATGCATTTGCATCACTGAACTCTGCTAAGCAATGTGGTCTATACAAACACAAACACAATGATATGTTTCAAAGTGCCAATTTATTTCAGGCCAGAACAAACTGACAAAACTTTAGTTGCCTGCAATCTACAGGTCATAGTTGGGTCTAGTCTGCCATAATTAACACAACATAGCCTGTTATGGTGGATCTGAACACACTCAACAATACTGTTAACATTCAGGTAAATATGTTACCAATTTGTGTTATTTGTTGTGCATGACTGGACGCCAATAGCGTAACAGGTTAAAGGTCAATGATGGGTATAAATAAAGCCACGCCTCCAATGGGAGGGCCCGTTGAATGAAATGCCACTGTCTCTGATGTTTCGTTACTCCTCCGCTTATTTGGATGCTAAACAGCAATGAAGTTATGCTTACTCTGCTAACAGGTTATGGGCCCAAAGACACCCAAATAAGTATTTCCGGCGTTTGTCCACCGATGGAAAGTCGCAACGTAGCACGTGTGGTGGATTAGCAAGCTAAGCTAACGCCATGAGCAGGTTGGGCGCAGGTTCCAGTACCCGCTGGTCTCGGTTAGTGTTTGACGGGGATGAAAATAACAATGAACTGTGGGAGACTAAATTCTTGGGCCATCTTCGCTTACAGGGACTGAAGAATACTATTTTAAGGAGTCCTACGGACATAATTGAGGAAGATGAAGAGGCGGACGATGAAAGGAAAAATGAAGAGGCTTATGCAGAGTTTATCCAATTTCTTGATGACAAAAGTTTGTCCCTTGTAATGAGGGAGAAGGCGGATAATGGTCGGCAGGCATTGAAGATTTTAAGAGACTATTATGCTGGCACAGGTAAACCACGTATTATCAGCCTATATACTGAACTGACATCACTCCTAAAGTCAAGCAGTGAAAGTGTGACAGAGTATATAATATGTGCAGAGACCGCCATCACCGCTTTGAGAAACGCGGAGGAGAAATTAAGTGATGGGCTTCTTGTAGCAATGGTTTTGAAGGGACTGCCAGAATCATTTAAACCATTCGCCATACACATCACGCAAATTGACCGGATAATAAGTTTTGCTGAATTTAAGACTAAGCTCCGCAGCTATGAGGATACTGAGCGAATGTGCACACCGGAACCAGAGGACAACGTCATGAGGGCGCGGGAACAGTTGAGAGCGAGACGACCCTCTGTACCAAGAGCATGGGATAAAGGAACCAAGTGTGCGGACATTGTTTGTTATAGATGCGGCCTGAGTGGACACAAGGCCGGAACGTGCCAACGTAAGCTGTGGTGCAGTCATTGTAAGAGCAACACGCATCGGGATGCAGCCTGCAGGCGGAAGCAGCGACGGGAGGACGACGCGCGGAAAGCTTCGGATGAAACGACTGGCGAGGAGTATGCTTTCCGAGTCAACGACGTGGACAACAAGGTCCAGCCAGGGCGCAGCATCACCGAGAGAGGACTGATGGTGGACACAGGGGCGACTTCACATATCGTCACGGATGTAACAAAGTTCAAGAGGTTTGATGATGACTTCCAGGCTGAATCCCACTGTGTGGAATTAGCTGATGGTACCAGGTCCAATGGTGTAGCAGAAGGAAGAGGGGACGCTGTTATTATTATGGTGGACAGCATGGGGAAAAGACACAAAACAACTCTGAAGAAGGCGTTGTACATCCCATCGTACCCCCAACACATTTTTTCTGTGAAAGCAGCTACTACCAAAGGAGCAACGGTAACCTTCAAGCAGGGCAAAGACGTTCTGCAACACAAAGACGGTACAAAATTTCACATTTATGAATTGAACAGACTTTATTTCTTGAACACAGTAAATGATGAATGTGATGACCAATGCAACAGGTGTTATGATTTACAGACATGGCATGAGATCCTGGGACACTGTAATTATGATGATATTCAGAAGTTACAGAATGTTGTTAATGGCATGTCAGTTAAGGGTAAGGTAAACAAACCTCCACATTGTGATGTATGCACTAAAGGGAAGTTTACCCAAACCAGGAACAGGGAGCCTGATGTAAGAGCCAAAGCAGCTCTAGAGTTGGTGCACACAGATATAGCAGGACCAATAGATCCGCAATCCAGAGAAGGCTTTAAGTATGCTTTATCATTCACAGATGATTACTCCAGTGCAGTGTTTGTGTATTTCCTTAAAAACAAAAGTGACACAGTGCAAGCAACAGAGAGATTTCTGGCCGATACTGCCCCATACGGGAAAGTAAAATGTATCAGGTCAGACAATGGCACAGAGTTCACAGGGAAACATTACCAAGCATTACTATGCAGTAATAAGATTAGACATGAAAAGTCAGCACCGTATTCCCCACATCAAAATGGCACTGCTGAAAGGAATTGGCGCACACTTTTTGACATGGCCAGGTGCATGCTTATAGAAAATGAGATGCCAAAAAGTATGTGGACCTATGCAGTACAGACAGCAGCTGTAATAAGGAATATATGCTTTAACAACCGCACAAAACAGACACCTTACTTTATGCTGACAGGTAGACGGCCTAACCTTTCCAGAATGCACACGTTTGGGTCAGTGTGCTATGCCTATAAGCAAGACAAAAAGAAACTGGACTCAAGGTGTGAAGAGGGAATTTTTGTTGGATATGACAAAAATAGTCCAGCCTACATGGTCTATTTCCCTCACAGTGGAAAAGTGCAAAAATCTAGACTTGTGAAGTTTGTGACCAAGACCAATTCAGAAAGAGAAACACAAACAGAAACCGTCTCTGATGATGATTTTGAGCAACAGAACAAATCTGGCAAAATCAAGCGTGATACTAACGTAAGTCCAGTATCTATACCTGTGGTAACAGAGACAGAAGACGACAAGAGTGAGCTTAGGCGTTATCCTTCAAGAGTGAGGAAGAAGCCAGCTTACTTATGTGACAGTGTATGTGGTAAGGAAAGTGAGGATCAGCTACTGACAAATATTGACTATTGTTACAGATTAATGTGCAATATCCCTTTAACATTTAGGGAGGCTGTAACTTCATCTGAGTCAAAACAATGGGTTATTGCAATGGATGAAGAAATGCAATCACTAAAAGAGAATGACACATTTATCCTAACTAACTTACCTCAAGATGAGAAAGCAGTGGGGGGTAAATGGGTGTACGATATCAAAACCAATGTTGATGGATCCGAAAGATACAAGGCACGATATGTAGCCAAGGGATACAGTCAGAAGAGGGGTGAAAACTATGATGAGACATTTTCACCTACCGCTAACCTCACCAGTATCAGAGTGTTAATGCAAAAAGCAGCACAGGAAAATCTGATTTTACACCAAATGGATGTTAAAACTGCTTACCTACATGCACCAATAGACTGTGAGATATACATGGACCAGCCAGAGGGTTTTGAGGTCAAATCTAGTAAAGGTGAAAAGTTGGTGTACAAGCTAGAAAAGTCACTATATGGGCTTAAACAGTCAGGCAGAAATTGGAACAAAATGCTACATGAGTATCTGAGTGAAAATGAGTTCCTACAGAACCCTGCTGACCATTGTGTTTACACAAAAGAAACTGAAAACTGGAAAGTGATAATGATAATATGGGTTGATGATATAATCATTGCAGCTAGTGATAACAATGCATTGAAAGTTGTTAAAGAGATGCTCACAGCTAAATTCAGGATGAAGGACTTGGGGAAACTAAAACATTTCCTTGGCATTGATTTTGATCAAACTGATTCATGTGTAAAGATGTCACAGAAGAAATATGTGAACAAAATACTTGAAAGGTTTAACATGCAGGATTGTAAACCGAGAGCGACACCTTGTGAGCAAAAACTGAACTACTTGGATGATGCTATACCGATGAAGGATGTTAGAATGTACAGAGAGGCAGTAGGTAGCCTGATCTACCTAGCTGTGTGCACGAGGCCTGATTTGAGTTTTGTTGTCAGTAAACTGTCCCAGTATTTTTCTGAGTCGACAGAAGAGCAATGGATTACTGTAAAACATGTACTGAGATATTTGAAAGGTACAATCGACAGGGAACTGTGTTACCGGAAATGTAAGAGTGAAAAACTGGGCTTACAAGCATACAGCGATGCAGATTGGGCTGCTGATCTAACCGACAGACGTAGTATGTCAGGTTATTGTGTAAGCCTTAATGAGAGCGGGCCACTGGTTTCCTGGAAAACCAAAAAGCAGCCAACTGTTGCTTTATCAACTTGTGAAGCCGAGTATATGGCTTGAGCAGCTACTATGCAGGAGTGTATGTACTTAATACAACTACTAGAGGGCATTGACAAATGTGAATATACACTACCTACGATTTACGAAGACAACCAGGGCACAATAGCGTTGGCAAAGAATCCTGTTAACAGACAGAGATGCAAGCATATTGACATTAAGTATCATTTTCTGAGGTCAACTGTGGAAGGGGGAAAAACAAATCTGATTTATTGTCCAACAGACCAGATGGTGGCAGATGTTATGACAAAACCTGCACCAAAGTTTAAGTTGATTAAGTTTGCAAAGTTTATGTTTGGTGAGTAACAATTTCTGTAAGGTAGAGAACCTTATAATGTTTTTATTTGTTAAAAGACCACAAATGTGTTATCAAGTGGGGGTGTTAACATTCAGGTAAATATGTTACCAATTTGTGTTATTTGTTGTGCATGACTGGACGCCAATAGCGTAACAGGTTAAAGGTCAATGATGGGTATAAATAAAGCCACGCCTCCAATGGGAGGGCCCGTTGAATGAAATGCCACTGTCTCTGATGTTTCGTTACTACTCCGCTTATTTGGATGCTAAACAGCAATGAAGTTATGCTTACTCTGCTAACAAATACACACACTAACATTCCAAAGATCAAGGAGGGGTGGCTGGGGCACACACACACACACACACACACACACACACACACACACACACACACACACACACACACACACACACACACACACACACACACACACACACACACACACACAGGCGAGGTAGAATGAGCACCATAACTACTGTTGTGTTTAGCTCCAAAAAATGCCATCATATCTCAAATCTAGCAAGTAATGTACAACATAAGCACAAAATACAATTTTCCTCTAGGCATTCTGAAATAAATAACTGCTTACAAATACAATCTGAATATATTATTCAGAATCAAGTTGGAAAAATGAATGTACTTTCACACCAAATGCTGGTACAGACAAGACAACCATAAATGCATTAAAACAAAAAACATCAGCTCCTCAAAAATGAAATCTGCAACTGTGAGTGGCTTCATTATGGCACAATATTCCTTCAGAAAATGAAGTTCCCTGTCGCTAATAGATTTTAGCTGTAAACGATCAGAGATGGCACTCAAGTCAGTCATAGGTATTTCAACAATTCTTGCCACAGCATCATAAAATGAATTCCATCTTGTAGTGCATGGCACAAGCAGCTTTTTGGTGACTACGTCGCTCACTATCTCTGAGGCCACTGTGGACCTGCTTGCCTTATTCCACAGTGCTGTGCACTTAGCTGTAGAGCTTCTGTAGATTCCTTTAGTCCCAGGATTTGAAAGGAGCCACTTCAGCACGTCAGCGCATGAAATTAAGTTTAGTGTGTGAGATGCACCTCTTTGGTGCGGCGGTAAAACAATCCCTTCCTCTGCGGCGGTGTTAAGCACGTCTGCAACGTCAGTGAAGATAACCTCTTCTTCATCATCATCATCGTCGTCAGAGAGCGATTCCGGTTGATACATGGCAAAGGCTTTCACAAAGTTAGAGCCGTTATCAGTAACCGTGGAGGTAACTTTTGTTGACACTCCATACAAAGAGTGAATGTGGTCAATCTCACTAGCAATAACATCGTACGTGTGCCTACCCTTTATCCTTTTACAGGCCAAGGCAGCTTTCTGGCGTTGTAAAGTGGTGGGGTTTATCCAGTGAGATGTTATCCCGAGGAAGCTTCTGTTGTGGACAGACCAAATGTCTGCCGTGGTCGAGATGTACTCCAGCCCCTCAAATGTTTTCTTTAGCTCGTAGTTGGAAAAAGTTTTCCGTCCCATATGCCGTGTGCCGCCCGGACATGGTATCATGCTTACTAGCTCCCTGAAAGCGGGTGACTCCACTGTAGAAATAGCCTGCATGTGTTCTACAACATCCCGTGCAATGGCTTTATCAACTTTTCCCTGGCTAGCAGTCCCTCGGTTAAAATCCAGCCGCTGTTGCTTAGGTAGAGGTGGAGTGGCGTCGGATTAGTCTGGGTCTGTGGTCTTAGCTACTAGCTTCGTCCCAGCATGTCGTTTCTGCAGATGTTTCAACAGATTTGAATGGCTGTTTTGGGCAGTAGATAGGATCTTTGACCCGCCAAGACACAACTTACATTTAACTAAAACGTTCTTTTCTTTGTGCTCGACAAAAGTGAAATAGTGAGAATATCTCCAGGCGGAGAAACTCAACTTGAGCTCCGCTGCCGCCATGATAGTCTTGTTAGTAAACACAAACACGCCCACAGCGCGTCTCCGCATGTGACACAGGAAGTATCTAAGTACATTTACTCAAGTACTGTACTTAAGTACAGTTCTCATCTCTGTTCGCCTCGCTGTTGGCGCCGCTCACCAACGTCTGGGAGCCGAGACTATATAAAAAAAATAACGGAGTAACGCACCATGTAGTAACGGTAACTGAGTTACTGAATTTAAAAAATAATGCGTTAGAGTACTAGTTACTGCCAAAAATAACAGCGTTAGTCCCAACACTGTCCATAAGCAATAAAACTGCTTTTCCGTTTCCAGATGTCAGAGCTAGAGTATAGGTTCGCTCTGATGCAAAACTGCATGCGCAAAGCCCCCACCTTTTTTTTTTACCATGTGTGTGAGTGGGGAAATCCCCCTTCGATTCTATTGGCTCTAACTGTCAGAAAGAGGTGTCAACCATCAAAATCGACCAAGGGGGGCCAGAGATATGGAAAATCCACCCAAATGACCCCAGAAGTGTTTTTTTTGTGCTAAATCTCTCTAAAAAGGTCAAATTTCACTTGTTTTACATCAATCTTGATACAGAGTACTTATTATATGTTGTACTTTGGATTCCTAAAGCTTTTAGTCTACTAACCCATCATCCAAGGGTAGTTTTCACTAGAAGTAAAAAATAATATTTGGACGGACACTATAATTTACAGTTTTTTACCATGTTCAATCTGAATTTTCTTTAAAATAAAAAACATTTCTACATCCAACTCACAGGTTTATCATTACTTTGAGAAAAAAGATGATTAATTTAACCCTTTTAGAAGGGAAGATAAGGTCATTTGTTCTTGGAATGTCATTTTCGAGCCTGAGACCTGAAAAACAGGCTCAGGGCTTAACAGGTTAAACATGCAGCTCTGACTCTTTAAACATGAAGCAGCAGATTTAAACATGAAGCAGCAGATTTAAACGTGATGCATCACGTTTAAACATGAAGCATCAGATTTAAACATGTAGCTCTGACTCTTTAAACATGAAGCAGCAGATGTAAACATGAAGCAGCGGATTTAAACATGAAGCAGCAGATTTAAACATGATGCAGCAGATTTAAACACCCAACCAAACACCCCACTGTTTATGCAATACGATGCAGGGCCTGCCACAAACTCTATGAGGGGGAGACACGTAAATAAATCAGCCTCAGAATAAAGCAACACCTCTACAAAGGGACGTCACAAGCTTTCATGCACCCATTTTAAAATCCACGGGCCAGACAAAGTGCAGACTGGATCAGGGTCCAGAGTGAGAGACAGACAGGTGAGAGACAGGTGAGAGAGAGACAGGTGAGAGACAGACAGGTGAGAGAGAGACAGGTGAGAGACAGGTGAGAGACAGGTGAGAGAGAGACAGGTGAGAGACAGACAGGTGAGAGACAGGTGAGAGAGAGACAGACAGACAGACTGCTGATACTCCAGCTGCATTACTGTGATGATGATGTCACTGATGGGCTTACCTGAGCAGGTGAGATTCAGGATGTGAGTAGAGGTAGCTGATACTGCACACTCCCTCAGAGCAGATCCAGACTGAAGACAGAGAGGAAAGATCCCCCAAACAGGTCTCTCTGAGGACTCCTCTCTCCCTCCTACAGAAACAGCAGAGCCACAGTCAAGATCTCTGCAGGCGACTGCTACTTCCTTCAGGGTCCACCACTCATAAAGAACATCCAATGGTCTCCATTCTCCCTGATATGTCAGCTCCAGGTCTCCTTCACAGCGACTGGATCCTCCCACCAGCCTGACAGGCTCTGAACAGAAACAGGAGAGTCATCAGAGAAAGAAGAGAGTTCACAGAGAGGGGAAGCCCCGCCCCTTCCTGTGGACCAACATGAGACCTTATTACAGAAACATATTGATGGTCAGCAGAGAGAGAGCAATCCTTTCTGGTCCTGTTTGAAGTGTATGGAATGCCCTTCAAGACAACATTAAATAAATACATAAATAAATACATATATAAATAAATATGGTTATGAAATCAATTCTGAAATAAATGAATGAGGCAATAAATATATATAAATGTACATTTATTTATTTAACTCAAGGGACTTTTATTTCATAATGCCACATTTATTTGACAGCTCTTTTTATTTCTATTTCTTATATTCAAATGAACGGCGCGTGGTTAGCTCACAGATCCAGACCAAAGCAACAGCACCACAACACTGACTCAATAGCCGCGTTCACACCGGAGTACTTTTCACCGTACTTTTCGCGTTTAGTTCAGTTAGTACCCCTAATTTCGCGTTCACACCAAAAAGAGCACTTAATCCCGGGAACTTTTACCCCCATTTTTAGTGCCTGCTGAGAGATGGTACTTTCCTGGGGGAAAAAAGTGCCCCAGTTCTGATTGGCTTGGCGAATTGCAAACCACGCCCCGTACAACTCTGAAATGTTTTGTAGAGCCGCCATTTTATTATCCTCGCATTAGCATTATTAGCATTAGCATTCGCCCAGCGCACAAACGCAGAGAGACTAATTTATGGCAACACAAAATAAAACATGGGAGCGGTGGAGATGAGGAGGTGTCGGCGTTCTGGCGATTTACTTGGAAGGCTTCAGTAGAAGCTGCTGGGAGTCCCAGCAGCGTCTTCTAGAAGAAGACGAAGTGACGTCAGCGGCTCATTTGCGTAATCTTCCCTCAGGGAATTTATTCCGGTGTGAACGCGATCTGTACTAAGTGCCCTGGGGTAATAAGTGCCGGGGCACTAAGTGCCGGCACTAAATACGGCAAAGTACTTGGTGTGAACGCGCCTAATCTCAATAGCTCTTGTTTAACTCCACCCTGAATGAAGCAAACAGAGTGTGACCTACGTCACTGAAAGAGGATCTTTAACACGTCCAAACCTCAGATGTGTAATTCATGGAACAATTCAAACGCTATAAACTGTTCGTCTCTCGCTGCCGTACGTTTCCTCAGAAATAAGTTCCCATGGGGACACAGGAAGGGGCGGGGCTTCCCCTCTCTGTCAGAACAGAATGAACCAATCACAGCTCCTCTCTACCTGAGCAGGTGAGGCTAACAGCTCTGCCAGGTGTGCAGGTGTTTCTCTCTGAGGCTGAGCTACAGTCCAGGAGAGCAGACTCATGGCCTCCACACTGGAACTCTTTGGTCCACATTGGAGCCTCCCCTTCTCCATAGAGCGCCCCCTGGAGGACTGAAGGAGCCCCACAGCCGAGCTGCTTGCAGACCACCTGAGCATCCTGCTGGTCAAAGTCAGCCTCACACACTGAGGACCAGGACGGGTTGGACGGGTCAGACGGGTCAGAGTTCACCTCCAGTCTGCCTGAGCACAGACCAGTCTCCCCCAGCAGCCTGACAGAGTCTGCAGAGAAGAGAACACAGAGAAAGATCTTGGTGCATTCAGCAGCTGCAGCAGATGCAGCCACTAGGCTACAGCTGCATTAGGTTGAGAAACCCTGAGGAGCAGAAAGACAATACATGTTCCCTGAATCCTGAAGTACTGAGCAGCCGGTCATCAGGTCCTGCAGGAGCCTGCTGATACTCCAGCTGCTGCATGTGGGGTTACTGTGAGGATGGGACTGATGGGTTTACCTGAGCAGGTGAGATGCACGATGGGACTGATGGGCTTACAGGTGAAATGCATGATGGGACTGATGGGTTTACAGGTGAGATGCACGATGGGACTGATGGGCTTACAGGTGAGATGCATGATGGGACTGATGGGCTTACAGGTGAGATGCATGATGGGACTGATGGGTTTACAGGTGAGATGCATGATGGGACTGATGTGCTTACAGGTGAGATGGATGATGGGACTGATGGGCTTACAGGTGAGATGCATGATGGGACTGATGGGTTTACAGGTGAGATGGATGATGAGACTGATGGGCTTACCTGAGCAGGTGAGATCCAGGGAGGCAGAAGAGTAATCTAATGATGCACACTCCCTCAGAGCAGATCCAGAATAAAGACAGTCAGGACTGATCCCCCACACATGTCTGTCTGAGGACACTGTTCTGCGTACTAGAGAAACAGCAAAGCCACAGTCGAGATCTCTGCAGAAAACGTGTGCTGTCTTCAGGGTACAGTGCTCAATAGGATAATGCACTGGTCTCCATTCTCCCCAATAGTTCAGCTCTAGTTTTCCTTCACAGCGACTGGATCCTCCCACCAGCCTGACAGACTCTGAACAGAAACAGGAGAGTCGTCAGTAAAAGAAGAGAGTTCACAGAGAGGGGAAGTTCCGCCCCTTCCTGTGGACCAACATCAGACCTTATTACAGAAACATATTAATGTTAGCTAAGTTACCTAGCTAACGCTAGCTAGCAGGCCAAGGCTCTGATTCTTTTAGTGTTATGGAGCACTGTACCGCACCGGCCTACTTTAACCTCTAAACAGAAAGAAGAGTCATCTGAACAAGAGGTTTGATGCGCGGTTACACTGCACTCTCTCTTCAACGCGAGATGACAGTGAAGAGAGAGATCTGCTGCTGAACGATGAAATATAACTCAGATAAAACCATAATAAATCAATGTCATGTTGTCTGATCAAAATAGTGACAGCTTGCACTTTGTTCTAAGGTTGTAGATGTGTGTGTGAGAAGTTCACTGAAAGCTGGAGACTGACAGAACAAGTTTGTTTGTAGCCTTTATTTAACCAGGTGAGAGCCCCTTGAGATCAAAACATCTCTTTTTCAAGGGTGACCTGCAAAGTCCTGAGTTGTTGAATCACGGTGAAGAAATAATTACACTAAGACTCGGCCATTGCTATGCTAAGCTAGCTAGCTAAAGTGAGAAAGGCTAGAGTTAACAACATTAGCATTAAAAAATGAACAGTGCAATAAGATTACTGTTGTAGAGCACAGCTAAATCGCTGACAGCTCTCTGACACAAAGTTGCATATAAAGGGGTTCATTGCTTAGTGTTTTATTCAGCTTATTGAGCTACTGAACAGTTTAATACTAAATCAATATAGGTGCCAAGTGACAATGTATTTAGTGACACTGTATTTAGTGACACTGTATTTAGTTAAACTGTAGTTAGTGACACTGTATTTAGTGACACTGTAGTTAGTGACACTGTATTAAGTGTAGGGATGGGTATCGTTTGAAATGTATCGAATCCGATTCCGGTTCCGGTTCTGCTTATCGATTCCGGTTCTTATCGATTCCCCGTTTCGATTCCAAAATTGTAAAAGAAAGAGGTCAAACGTTTAGATAACAAAAATATCTTTATTCTTTTAAGCTTTAACTGACATTTTTACAAATAAAAAATATACATGCAATACAAATGTATTGCACAATAGCTGTGCTTTATTTTAACTGAGCTATGCCTGTGGCAAGCTATTAACAGGCATTACACTGTGCCTTGTCTTTTTCTTTTTTAGTGTAGTGGAGCCTCACTTTAGAGCGTTTACCGCGATCCATCTTTGGTGTTATGAAGTGACTGAGCTCGTGAACTGTCTACGGGAGGGCGGGGGGAGCCTCGCTGCGGGGCAACTGTGGACCTCTGTCGCCTGTCAGCGCAACTTACATGATGCCGTTTAAAAAAATTAAGGGCGGTGCCGGCCGTCAGCGAACCGAGCCGGCCGTCAACGGCCCGCTGACGGCCGGCCATTCTGTGATTCTCCAGAACACACAGATGGCCAGTCCGCCATTACCCTGTATTCCACCGGGTCACCGTGGCGCAGACGGACCCGGTGGAATACAGGGTATACCGCGTTTAGGAACCGTTAAGCAGAACCGAAATTGTGTATTTTGTATGGGTTCCCGGCATTTTCTTATCGGTTCTCATCTGGAACCGAGTTTCGGTTCCCAACCCTAATTAAGTGACACTGTAGTTTGTGACACCGTATTTAGTGACACTGTAGTAAGTGACACTGTAGTTAGTGACACTGTATTAAGTGACAATGTAGTTAGTGAGTGTGTTTGCTTAACGTTTATGTAAAAATGATCTTAAATCTTAACAAAAACCACAGAAAGCACAACTGAAACTCAGCTGGTTCTGCTTCAGTGATCCTCCCCTTGTCTTCCTCTCCCTGTGTACCTGGTGGTTCGATTGCTCCTTCAGCCTGGAGTCCTGAGGAGAAAGTCAGGAGATAAACGTCAGTAAAAAGCTATTTTCAGACTCTTTAAACATGATGCAGCAGATTTAAACATGAAGCATCAGATTTAAACATGAAGCATCAGATTTAAACACAATGCAGAAGATTTAAACACCAAACCAAACACCCCGCTGTTCATGCATTACGATGCAGGGCCTGCCACAAACTCTATGAGGGGGAGACACGTAAATAAATCAGCCTCAGAATGAAGCAACACCTCTACAAAGGGACGTCACAAGCTTTCATGCATCCATTTTAAAATCCACGGGCCAGACAAAGTGCAACCCACGGGCCTGGAGACAGGGACTGGATCAGGGTCCAGAGCCAGAGACAGACAGGTGAGAGACAGGTGAGAGACAGACAGGTAAGAGAGATACAGGTGAGAGACAGACAGGTGAGAGACAGACAGGTGAGAGAGAGACATGTGAGAGAGAGACAGGTGAGAGACAGGTGAGAGAGAGACAGACAGACAGACTGCTGATACTCCAGCTGCATTACTGTGATGATGATGTCACTGATGGGCTTACCTGAGCAGGTGAGATTCAGGATGTGAGTAGAGGTAGCTGATACTGCACACTCCCTCAGAGTAGATCCAGACTGAAGACAGAGAGGATAGATCCCACACGCATCTCTCTCTGAGGACTCCTTTCTCTCTTCTACAGAAACAGCAGAGCCACAGTCGAGATCTCTGCAGGCGACTGCTGTTCCTTCAGGGTCCACCACTCAAAAAGAGCAGCCACTGGTCTCCATTCTCCCTCACGGTTCAGCTCCAGGTCTCCTTCACAGCGACTGGATCCTCCCACCAGCCTGACAGGCTCTGAACAGAAACAAGAGAGTGATCAGTCAAAGAAGAGAGTTCACAGAGAGAGGAAGTCCCACCCCTTCCTCTGGACCAACATGAGACCTGATTACAGAAACATATTGATGGTCAGCGGAGAGAGAGAGAGCAATCCTTTCTGGTCCTGTTTGAAGTGTATGGAATGCCGTTTAAGACACAATTAAATAAATACATAAATAATTAAATAAATACATATATAAATAAATATGCCTATGGAATAAATAAATATGGTTATGAAATAAATTCTGAAATAAATTAATGAGGCAATACATATATATAAATGTAAATTTAAATACACATTCATTTATTTCAGGGGACTTTTATTTCATAATGCCACATTTATTTCACAGCTGTTTTTATTTCAATTTCTTATATTCAAATGAACGGGGCGTGGTTAGCTCACAGATCCAGACCAAAGCAACAGCACCACAACACTGACTCAATCTCAATATATCTTGTTTAACTCCACCCTGAATGAAGCACACAGAGGGTATTTCTCAATGTCGAGGACGCTTCCTTGGTTGGACATGTCTTCCGAGTCAGGTCTTTCAGAGGCTAGGCAAGAATCCTTCCTTTCAATCGGAGAACGAAGAATGGAACAGGCTAGCAAGTGTGCAGGTGTGCGTCATATGAGAGGCTCCGCCTTACATTTTCCACCAAAGATTTTGGAAATTGGTCCGTGCGCAAAGCATTGTGGGGATTTTAAGACCGCGGAGTCTACACATGTGCAGCCTCGAAATTTCCCGCAACGAAGGACAACGGCCTCGAGTGGCTCTGGAGCAGCTTTCCTCGACATTGAGAAGCACACGGAGTGTGACCTACGTCACTGAAAGAGGATCTTTAACACGTCCAAACCTCAGATGTGTAATTCATGGAACAATTCAAACGCTATAAGCTGTTCGTCTCTTGCTGCCGTACGTTTCCTCAGAAATAAGTTCCCATGGGGACACAGGAAGGGGCGGGGCTTCCCCTCTCTGTCAGAACAGAATGAACCAATCACAGCTCCTCTCTACCTGAGCAGGTGAGGCTAATAGCTCTGCCAGGTGAGCAGGTGTTTCTCTCTGAGGCTGAGCTACAGTCCAGGAGAGCAGACTCATGGCCTCCACACTGGAACTCTTTGGTCCACATTGGAGCCTCCCCTTTTCCATAGAGCGCCCCCTGGAGGACTGAAGGAGCCCCACAGCCGAGCTGCTTGCAGACCACCTGAGCATCCTGCTGGTCAAAGTCAGCCTCACACACTGAGGACCAGGACGGGTTAGATGAGTCAGACGGGTCAGAGTTCACCTCCAGTCTGCCTGAGCACAGACCAGTCCCCCCCAGCAGCCTGACAGAGTCTGCAGAGAAGAGAACACATAGAGATATCTTAGTGCATTCAGCAGCTGCAGCAGATGCAGCCAATAGGCTACAGCTGCATTAGGCTGAGAAACCCTGTGGAGCAGAAAGACAATACATGTTCCCTGAATCCTGAAGTACTGAGCAGCCGGTCATCAGGTCCTGCAGGAGCCTGCTCATACTCCAGCTGCTGCATGTGGGGTTACTGTGAGCATGGGACTGATGGGCTTTCCTGAGCAGGTGAGATGCATGATGGGACTGATGGGTTTATCTGAGCAGGTGAGATGCATAATGGGACTAATGGGCTTACCTGAGCAGGTGAGAGGCATGATGGGACTGATGGGCTTACAGGTGAGATGCATGATGGGACTGATGGGCTTACAGGTGAGATGCATGATGGGACTGATGGGCTTACCTGAGCAGGTGAGATTCAGGGAGGCAGAAGAGTAATCTATTGATGCACACTCCCTCAGAGCAGATCCAGAACAGTCAGGACTGACCCCCCACACATGTCTGTCTGAGGACACTGTTCTGCATACTAGAGAAACAGCAGAGCCACAGTCGAGATCTCTGCAGAAAACTTGTGCTGTTTTCAGGGTACAGTGCTCAATAGGATAATGCACTGGTCTCCATTCTCCCCGATAGTTCAGCTCCAGTTCTCCTTCACAGCGACTTGATCCTCCCACCAGTCTGACAGACTCTGAACAGAAACAGGAGAGTCATCAGTAAAAGAAGAGAGTTCACAGAGAGGGGAAGTCCCGCCCCTTCCTGTGGACCAACATCAGACCTTATTACTTCATGTCAAGTCAGAAACAGATGAAAAGCTAGTCTGCAAGCTGAATAATAAAATAGTGACAATGAAGAGAGGGATCTACTGCTGAACGGTGAAATATAACTCAGATAAAACCTTAATAAATCAATGTCATGTTGTCTGATCAAAACAGTGACAGCTTACACTTTGTTCTAAGGTTGTAGATGTGTGTGTGAGAAGCTCACTGAAAGCTGGAGACTGACAGAAGAAGTCCAGAGTTGGTGAATCACGGTGAAGAAATAATTACACTAAGGCTCGGCTGTTGTTACGCTAAGCTAGCTAGCTAAAGTGAGAAAGGCTAGAGTTAACAATATTAGCATTAAATGATGAACAGTGCAATAAACTTACAGTTGTAAAGCACAGCTAAATCTGCTGACAACTCTCTGACACAAAGTTGCATATAAAGGGGTTCATTGCTTAGTGTTTTATTCAGCTTATTGAGCTACTGAACAGTTTAATACTAAATCAATATAGGTGCCAAGTGACACTGTATTTAGTGACACTGTAGTAAGTGACACTGTATTTAGTGACACTGTATTTAGTGACACTGTAGTTAGTGACACTGTATTTAGTGACACTGTAGTAAGTGACTCTGTAGTTAGTGACACTGTAGTTAGTGACACTGTATTTAGTGACACTGTAGTTAGTGACACTGTATTTAGTGACACTGTAGTAAGTGACTCTGTAGTTAGTGACACTGTAGTTAGTAACATTGTAGTTAGTGACACTGTATTTAGTGACACTGTAGTTAGTGACAGTGTGGTAAGTGACTCTGTAGTTATCCATCCATCCATCTTCTCCCGCTTATCCGTGGTCGGGTCACAGAGGTAGCAGTTCCAGCAGAGAGCCCCAAACTTTCCTTTCCCTGGCCACATAAACCAGCTCTGACTGGGGGATTCCAAGGCGCTGCCAGGCCAGCGAAGAGATATAATCCCTCCACCTGGTCCTAGGTCTCCCCTTCAGTCTCCTCCCAGCTGGACGTGCCTGGAACACCTCCATAGGGAGGCACCCAGGTGGCTTCCTTACTAGTTGCCCGAACCACCTTAACTGGCTCCTTTCGACGCGAAGGAGGAGCGGTTCAACTCCGAGTCCCTCCCGGATGACTGAACTTCTCACCTTATCCCTAAGGGAGACGCCAGCCACCCTGCGGAGAAAACCCATCTCGGCCGCTTGTATCCGCAATCTCGTTCTTTCGATCATGATCCATCCTTCATGACCATAGGTGAGGGTAGGAACAAAAATGGCCCGGAAGACAGAGAGCTTTGCCTTCTGGCTCAGCTCCCTTTTCGTCACAACGGTGCGGTAAAGCGACTGCAGTACCGCTCCCGCTGCTCCGATTCTCCGGCCCATCTCACGCTCCATTGTTCCCTCACTCAAGAACAAGACCCCGAGATACTTGAGACACTTGGGGTAAGGACTCATTCCCTACTTGGAGTGGACACTGTATTTAGTGACACTGTAGTTAGTAACACTGTAGTTAGTGACACTGTAGTTAGTAACACTGTATTTAGTGACACTGTAGTTAGTAACACTGTATTTAGTGACACTGTAGTTCGTGACATTGTATTTAGTGACACTGTATTAAGTGACACTGTAGTTAGTGACACCGTATTTAGTGACACTGTAGTTAGTGACACCGCATTTAGTCACACTGTAGTTAGTGACACTGTAGTGACACTGTAGTCAATGTGTTTGCTTGCCGTTTATGTAAAAATGATCTTAAACCTTAACAAGCACCACAGAAAGCACAACTGAAACTCAGCTGGTTATGCTTCAGTGATCCTCCCCTTGTGTTCCTCTCCCTGTGTACCTGGTGGTTCGATTGCTCCTTCAGCCTGGAGTCCTGAGGAGAAAGTCAGGAGATAAACATCAGTAAAAAGCTATTTTCAGACTCTTTAAACATGATGCAGCAGATTTAAACTTGAAGCACATGAAGCATCAGATGTAAACATGAAGCAGCAGATTTAAACTTGAAGCATCAGATTTAAACATGCAGCATCAGATTTAAACATGAAGCATCAGATTTAAACATGCAGCATCAGATTTAACCATGATGCAGCATATTTAAACATGCAGCTCTGACTCTTTAAACATGCAGCATCCGATTTAAACATAATGCAGCAGATTTAACCATGATGCAGCAGATTTAAACATGCAGCTCTGACTCTTTAAACATGAAGCATCAGATTTAAACACCCAACCAAACACCCTGCTGTTTATGCATTACGATGCAGGGCCTGCAACAAACTCTATGAGGGGGAGACACGTAAATAAATCAGCCTCAGAATGAAGCAACACCTCTACAAAGGGACGTCACAAGCTTTCATGCACCCATTTTAAATCCACGGGCCAGACAAAGTGCAGTCCACGACCTGGAGACAGGGACTGGATCAGGGTCCAGAGCCAGGCAGCGGAGAGGAGCTGGAACAATGGACCCACCTCACTAAACTAGAGATACCAGTGATGAGACCACCTCCACTTGTTTTTATTTATTTAATTTCTGTATTTATATTCTATTAAATTAAACTGTTCTTATCTTCCCCTATTCCTCCCCATCTCTCCCCCTTGGGTGCTTTTCACCTCTCATCATCTCTATCTCACAACAATCAATAAACACTACAAACATTGTATATTATCATCATCAGATTATAGTGTAATTAATGTTGTCTTAATATCCATTTCTCTGCACCATGAGAGAAAGAGTGAACGTCAGGTTTTAATCTGGAAGCATATTCCAGTGTTTGATGTAAATGAAAATGCAGATTTTGCAGAGGGACGGTTATATCTGCGTCTAGTGCAGATCTGAGCTTTTTAACCACATTTTTTAAATGTATTTTCCTGTACTGTTTTAGTCAATAACTGCTGTGTTGATACACCAATATAATACTGAATATCTATAGTAGAGATGATAATCAAAGATAAAGAGTGTATGTTACCTGAGCCCAGCAGCAGCAGCAGCAGCAGGGGGTCCATCTCCTCACTCTGTGTACTTATACTCACATATCTGTGTACTTATACGTATATGTTCACGAGAGACAGGAAGTCAGGCTCACTTCCTGCCAACCCCCGGCCTGCAATAAAGGGATAAGATATAATATATATTATTATTATTTAATACTTTCAACTGAACTACACTATGTAAGAGTGAAGCTGATCTAAGAGCAGTTTTTATTTGTAGGTTTACACAGTTTCGAAAGCGTCAGAAGGAAGTGAGTAATGCACGCTGTGGTTAACGTTGAGAGACATATAGCCCTCAAACAGCGAGGGGCATGGAAACTGAACACAGTTGGTGGTGAACGCTCTGCAGCAGAATCATGCCACCCATAAGCCCACTTTCAGTCAATTCAAGTTGAAAATATGTAAAATCTAAGTTGATAATAAAAAAGCCCAATAACTTATTTTCACAACAACCTTGAAATATACCTTTCCTATTTCCTCTTGTTATAATCAATCTGAGGCTTCTGTTTTAAGGAATGAGCTGCTAACTAAATACATGAAACCCTCTGGAGAGCTGTCATGTAGGCTGTTGTATCAAGCATCATTTACTGACATTTGATTGATTTTGCTGACTTATAACTTCACTTATGAGGCAATAAACCTCTAGGGAGTGGCCCAGCCCTTCGTATATTTTTCTGTATGTTGCCCTGAGTGTAAAAAGTTTGGACACTGCTCTGTAGGATCTAACAATGTATGCCCTCACTTTAATCCATATTTTACGTAGTGTTTAGTGCACCTATTCCCACTATGTAATGAGGGCATCTGAACAGGATGGAACCCTTCTTGCACTATTTGTATTTTATTTGTATTTTCTTGCACTATTTTATCTGTTTTATTTGTTCTATGTCCTATATATATTCATGTTTCTCTGTTGGAGGAGGACTTCAGTTTTCCATATCTGCACTGTAGCTGCTGAGCACATGATGATAGAGACTTGAATCTTGAAACTTGGAACTTGAAGACACCTGGATGTCTTTACGGGGATCAATGAAGGTTTATCTTTTCAGGGTGGACAGCTTTGATTGCCTTGGTGTCCTCATCACCTGCTGACCTGCAGACTGACTCGGTGGCAGGAGAGAAAATCAGAGGCGTCAGAAATCAGGGTTTCCCCCTAAAGTACAGAAGGATATTCATATCATGCAACATAGGGGTCGCTGTATAGCTCAACACACGCGATGACGGAGCCCACTTCTGTTCTCATTGGTTTTGTGAACCAGGCATTAGACTCCACCTCCACAATCAGACACATATATCATTAAACATATATATTATATCATCTACCTTATATCTTGACTGATTTATCGATTGCTTTTCTGCTAATGGGTTCACTAGTGAGTGCAACACTTTTTTATTTCCTTATCAACATTCAATAAAACACTTAAGCTCCATATAATCCATTATATGGTTAATTCTGAGTTTCCTTTGAAACGATTGTGTTTCAATGGAGGAATTAATGATTAGTATTCTGGGTACCCTCAAAGCATAAGACTGAACATCGACCCCTTTTCCTGTCCCCCAGTTAATAATACACAGAAGAACAAATGTGCTTATTGATTAATGTCCTCTTTGAAACCTCCTGTTAGCTGATTGA